GGAGCGGCTGGTGGCGAGGAATTGCTGCCCGCCGGGCGCTCCTAACAGCAAGAGCCCCCCTTATTTTGCATGTTTTAAAATAGGCCTAAATTTGGGGGGAGGGGCTTAATTTGATTTTATGCCAAAAAAACATGCTGGGCCTTCCTATTGGTGGAGGCCGTATTGTTGGAGAAACACGGTACTTTGAATCAATGTATAAAGAGGTATTGCTATGTTAAGTAAAATGTGTAGACATGTCAGAAAGCAAGCACATCCCATTGATCTGTTTTAATTTTTTCATTGTATTTCAACATTTCAACATATGAGTTACAAGTACCTTTCCTACTGATATCAAAGTGCATAAAGCTACCACTAGAAAGAGCTGCACAAATTATGCATATAGGGGGGGAAGTGACACAAGGAAACCTTTGCTGTCCAGAAAGAACATCAATACTAAAGTTTGCTTATGAGTGGCTAGACAAAGATGGAACAATTTGGCCTGCAGATTCAAGAATTATTTGGTCCTTTGGAAAACCTCTTGGGGAGATCCAAAGAGAGAATTTTCTCAGAAAAACCCGATTAAGCATGGGGATGGTGGAAATGATATGGATTTTGGCTGCTTTGATGCATCGTGGACCAGGTGGCCTATATCCAAAAGGATTTTTGATTTTTTAGCACAGTTGAGTAAGCAACAGTAAGTCGGTTTAAAAATACGAATCCAGCTTTTATCTTCCCAAATTATCAGTAGCTTACTCTAATTTTGTACAGGTAGGATGATTAACTGGATGATAGATAACCAATTCCATCTATTCCCAGGTAGCACAGATCATATGTACATTTTGGGTCCCAATTTTAAAGCTTAAAAAACTGCTTTACAGATGGCAGAAACAGCACTAGCACTGATGATGTTACCTAGTTTGGGTAATGAAGAAACTGCCAGAAAACAACCAAGCTCAGAGAGCACCAAAGACCTCTTAGAAACAGTATTAATCAGCTATTTTATTTTCATTTGTTCAGCTGGCCACAGTGAAGGAGAAAGTAGAACTACTTCAATCAAATAAATACTATCTCAAGAGTTTAAAACCACTGTAAAGATAAGAGAACATCCAGCCAATTATTACTGATATATTTTCTATTAACGTAAGGACAGATAGACATCATATTCTTACATAAATGATGAATTTAAATGTCCTTTAGAAAAACATCCCATTTACAAGCATTCCTCATTTTCGAGAGGTGTGATTGTCCATCAAGCTACATAAAAAAAGGTTTTGTAAGTAAATGTATATGGGTAGTCCTTGATTTACGACCACACATTTTTTTGTTGCTTAGTGAATTTTGCCCAATTGTATGAGCTTTTTTTGCCACAGTTATTAAGTGAATGACTGCAGTTGTTAAATCAGTAGCGTGGTTGTTAAATGAATCTGGATTCTCCAATGACCCTGGGACATAGCAATGGTCCTAAATATGAACCAGTTGCCAAGCATTTGGATTTTGATTGCATGAACACAGGGATGCTGGAATGGCTGTGGGAACGTCCATTAAGTCAGATTTTTTCAGTGTCATTGCAACTTCGGTCACCAAATGAACTGTTGTAAGTTGAGGGCTATTTGTACACCTGAAAAGTGTACATGGAAGAAAGCTAAAGATATTTAGATTAAACATGATATGACACATCTTTGTTTGAATTTATTTTATAGCTGTTCTATAAATGAATTTAGAATTGGGTCAACTGGATCTTTTTATACAATAAAGTTGAAAAGCAGTACTTTCAAGTTGGTTCAATGCTCGTTCCTGAAATCATTTGAGTTTAGTAAATCAGATTGTTAGAAAAATCACATACATCCCAAAGAAATAAACGTCTTCAGTTATCTTTGTTTTAATGTACAATATTAAACAGTGTCTCTGAGCTCAATGCTTATATTTCAGGACAATATATTCCATTAGAGCAGGAGTATGTGGCCATCTATTTCTATCTGGTTGATATTTTTTTACTGATGTTAAGGAAAAGCAGAATTATTATGACTATGACAAGGATGGAACAAAAATTTCTTGGAATTCTTTAAACTAGTATTGAATACTGACTGAATAGTATCTATAGTAAAAATAAATGAAAATAGTATGAATTTCAATTTCATTGTACACATTGTGTATTGACAATAAATGTTTGATTTGATTTGAAACAGTAGAAAACAGGACTAAGACCATACATACCACAGGATACAAATCTAATGCATTATAATGCTCACTTTTTCACTATTATCAGTTGTGCCAATATTCTATGTTCTTAGTCTACTCAGATATACATATCTGAGTGAAGAGTTAAAGGGCCTTTGGAAAAAATATGTTAATTGATAATACACAGCATCAACAGAATATACTTTTAAATGAAAGAACTGTTTTTTTATGTGGGCTCCTTCATCAATTTTTACAATCCATTATGTAAGTATTGAGAGGAATCCTTTTTAAAATAAAGACAAAAACATCCTCTCAATGAATTCTCATCCAAATAGCAGTGTTACTTGTGAACATTTAAAATATGAAATAATGAAATAGGAGTTCTCTTAATCAATGGTTATATAGGTTATAATTACATCTGATTCTTTCCATGTCTGTATAGTAGGGGAAAATATATGTGCTCCATCTTAAATATATTTGGTTTTAATAATTTTTCAAATAGGTTATCCATTCTAGTTTAGCTTCCCACAGTCCATGCATTTTAACACATCATCCCATGCATTGCATTAAGCTATGTTGTTGACTTGTTTTTGGCTTAGCATTTTGTACACTGAAGGCCAACAAACAGATCATAGCTTAAGGCTTACTCACTACAATTAAAGAGACTACACCAACACACAGGTCTTTGTAATTTCCTTCCTTCCTTAGTGCTAATTCAGATTTCTAGCTTGCTTAAGCTCTTAACCAACCTGTAAAGGTCCACTGCAAGATCAGTTAAAAGAACGAGGGTTTGGCCAAAAAAGCCACCATCACTTGCTTCCCTGAATTCTGGCTTATTCCACAAACTATGGTTTTCTAAGCTGCCTAAGTATGAAGACTCTATTGTGAAGCCTATTTTACACACTCCAATGTTTTACTCTTTCTGCATACACACACACACACATATATACACATGAATTACAGAAAACTTTGCCTATTATACCAACATCAGGGAAATTTCCCCAAAGACTCAGATTCTGTTGCCAGAATAAACTCTCAGCAACAAGGGCACTCAACCTAGAGGAAAGGCTGCTGGGCCTATAAATGGAAAGAGAAGGGCTGGCTTCTTTATTAGTTTTTATCCTGCCTTTATTACGTTATAAGTAACTCAAGGTGGCAAAGCTACCTAACGCTCCCTCCTCCTCCTCTTTTCCCTGAAACAACCACACTGTGAGGTGGGTCAGACTGAAAAATGCTTAACCAAAGCCACTCAGCTTGTCTTTTGTGGCTAAGGCAGAACTAGATGGAACTCACTGTCTCCTGGTCACTGGGTGACCCAGTCACCCAGCCAACTTTTATACCATACACAAGACTAGAACTCCCAGTCTCCTGGTGACTGGCCCAAAGGCACCCTGCTACCTTTCTTGCTCTTTAAGGGAGGCCTAAAACTCATCATCTCCTGAGGATTGACCCCCAAGTCACCCAGCCACCTTTTATGCCATACAGGGGACTAGAACTCCCAGTCTCCTGGTGACTGGCCCAAAGGAGTCCAGCTACTTATCTCAGGCATAAAACTTACAATCTCCTGAGGATTGGCCCCAAAGCAGCCAGCCGGCCTTTGTGGCTCAAGGAGAAGCTAGAACTCCCATCACCCAGTACCTAGTTGCTGAACTAGAACTCCCAGTCTCCTGAGGACTGACCCCAAGTCATCCAGCCAGGTTTTATGCCATACATGTGACTAAAACTCCCAGTCTCCTGGGGACTGGCCCAAAGGCATCCAGCCAAATTTTGTGCCTAAGGAGGAACTAGAACTCCCATCACCCGGCATCTAGCTGCTGAACTAAAACTCCCAGTCTCCTGGGGACTGGCCCAAAGGCACCCAATTACCTTTCTTGCCTGTCTAAAACTCACCATCGCCTGAGGATTGACCCCAAATCACCCCAGCCAGCTTTTTACGCCATACACGAGACTAGAACTCCCAGTCTCCTGGTGACTGGCTGAAAGGCATCCAGCTACCTTTTTCAGGCCTAAAACTCACCATCTCCAACAGGACTGGCTCCAAGGCACTCAAGCTGGCTTTTGAGTGGCTTAAGGAGCTAGAACTCCCATCACCCGGTACCTAACTACCGAACTAGAACTCCCAGCCTCCCAGGGACTGGCCCAAAGATGCGCAGCTACTTTTTTCAGGCCTAAAACTCACCATCTCCCACAGGACTGGCCCAAAGGCCCTTAGCCGGCCTTTGTGGCTCAAGGAAGAGCTAGAATTCCCATCACCCAGTACCTAGCTGCCGAACTAGAACTCCCAGTCTCCTGGGGACTGGCCCAAAGGCTCCCAGCTACCTTTCTCAGGCCTAAAACTCACCATCTCCCGCAGTACTGGCTCCAAGGCATCCAAGCCAGCTTTTGGGTGGCTTAAGGAGGAGCTAGAACTCCCATCTCCTGGTACCTAGCTGATGCTGCTTCTTCTGCAAACAATTCAGCAAACGATGCCCCACCCCCACCTCTAATATGAGGCTTGACACTTCAATTGGGAGGGGGGGAGGAAGGGGGAAGAGATCAGCCCCTCGAAAGGATTCAAAGCTCCCCTCACAGGGTTGGGGGCTCTTGGCCTGCCCTCCCCTCCCCCTTTGCTTCTCCCCGTCCTGCCTGCCCCCCCCCCACATCTCCCCACCCTCAGCGGGCGCCCCTCATCGTAGCCCCCCCTCCCATCGTCTCCTGCAGAAGGAGAGAAGCGGCGGCTTCAGCCTCCGGGCAGCCGAGACGAAAGGCAGGCCAGGAGCCTTGGGCCGGGATGAGCCCCCCCCTCACCGAAGCTCGGGGTGGGGGCAGAAACGGAGGGGGGCGGGGGGCGTATAAAGGCTGACCTCCTCGCTCTTCAGCACTTCTTTGAACTCCCGCTTGATCCGCTGCACCGCGATATTGGCCATCTCGGCAGCGGGACCCGCCGAAACCCAGGTCGCTCCCGCCGCCGCTGAGCCGGGCCGACCTCCGCCGCCAACCGTCACCACCGCGGGAGAAGCTCCGGCGGCCCGTCCAAAATGGCGCCCGCGCCGAGCATGCGCGTTGCGCCTCCCGGAGCCGTCCTCTTCCTCTCCGTCATAGTGGAAGGGTGTGGGGGGGCGCGCCGAGGCGAGGCGCGACGCGACGCGACGCAGCGCCGGCAAGGGGGCGAGGCCTCAGAAACGGCAGAGAGGTCGCCTTGTGCGTCGTCACTCGCCCGCGACGACGTCGCCTTGGGAACTGGCGCGAGAGGGCCATTTAAAGAGGAGGCGCCTCTTCCCTGAGGGAAACCGACGAGCGTTGTTGTTGTTTGTTTCCCCCCCCCCGCCCCCATCGAGCCTCATGGCGGGCGGGAAAGCTCTAATGAGGAAATCTGCCGCTGCCGGCGCCTTTGTTTACGTTTCAGCCCTCGGCTTGGTCTCGGAGCCTGTCTCCCGGGACACATCAACGCCGGGGAAGGCTTGAGGCCTAGTGAGGTGGGTGCAACTGCCTTCTGAAGTGGGGGCGGGGGGGAGAGAGAGGCGGCCGCCGGCAGGCAGGCAGGCCCGTTTATTTGTCTGTGTGTGTGAATAGCGATGAGGCCCTTCAGTATAACAAATATCAAAGTAAGTGGTGTCAGACTGTACTTTATTATTATTAATTAGACATTAAAATATCGGAGACAGTGCGACCGTCCTGGCATCATCTTTGCCTTACATACTAAACTATAAAATTAGTATCTTGTGTACATTTATACAGTTAGCTTATGCAGTCATATACATTTATAAAGACAGCATAACATCTTCTGTACTGCTAACTTTACACCTTTTGTCTTGTCCATGATATTCAGTGGTAATTACATACGTAACCTCGATGGTCCATTCTACTAATCTTCGTTTTTATTCTGGGTCCCTCCTTTCCGTTTCCCGCCATTGATAGAATTTATTCCATATCTCATATTCTGTCTCACCTTATGTGATGACCCAAAGGGGGATAGCACAAAGGCCATACAGTCAGATAATCAGTAGGAGTCCCTTTATTAGCTCCAACTTTGCCCCCAATGTCCTGGTTACCTTCTGGTCTGGAGAAAAACTCTCCCAGGAACAGCCTTTGACTGCAGGGAATCAAGTCCAAAACGTGGTCAACAAAAACTATAAGTCCAATCAAGGCAAGATGAGGTAATTAGTACAGCAAGGCAGGAGAAGGGATTTCAGATGTGAAGACAGGGCAGTAATTCAGCAAGGTTGGGAGGATGCCAGGAACGCAGATAACCAAAGTTCACACAAGATAAACTCACTCCCAGCAGCTGCTGCACTCATCTTGCATCTCTTTTAAACTTCCTTCCCAGGTGTGGCTAATGAAGGGAATCAGGGCCCTTTCCTCCCCCATAAGCCACTTTGCTCTCTTCTCCATTCCTCCCTGTGTGCCCTAGGACGAAGAGGGAGTGGGCTTGGGTCTTCCTGTGAACTCCCTCTCCCTTGTTCTACCTCTCCCCTGCTCTGCCCAGCTGAACTTTGCCCTTCCCCATTTTTCTTCACAGCCAACTGAGCCACAGTCCCACTCACTGTCAGCTGTTTGGCTTCCTCCTTGGATTCAGACTCCAACAGGAGCATGACACCTTTATTTTTCAATTCCGACGTCATTTCTGCACCAATCAGTATTTTCTTTATCACTTCACCTTCTAAGGGAATTTCCTCTATTTTTCCATTGTTGAGCAAAAACATTCTTGCTGCCCTTATAATATGTAATATTAGATAGGTCACTTCTTTACTATATCTCTCTTTTGCGATTCCTAATAAAAATAGTTCTGGTTTGGATTCTGTTTTATTTGTCCAATCATCTCTTCCAACCATGTCTGAATCTTTTCCCAAAACTTTGTTGTTTTTTTACATGACCACCACATATGATAATACATGCCTGGTTCTGGATTACATTCCCAACAAGTTGGTGATAGATTTCTAAACATTTTTGCCTGCCTTGCTGGAGGAAGATGCCACCTATAAAACATATAGATTTTATTTGTATGATATGGCAAGTGTTATTTTCCTATTTCTTTCCCATAATTCTTGCCATTTTTCCAATTCAATATTATACCCAAAGTTTTTAGCACCAAAAACTTATATAAGTCTAAGTGCTATTGCTATCTGTTTCTCCATGTTCTCTACCCATACTGTACTTATAGGTTTCACATGAAGATAATGAAATTTTGGGATCCTAATTTTTCTAAACAAATCTCACAACGTGACATGATATTTCTTCTTTTTGTAATCTTTAGCTTTCTCAATTATCCAATGTGCATCAGCTTAGAGCCACAGTTTAAAAAGTAGATGGAATCCCAGGACCTACAGTGTTATTGAAAATTCATCTTATTATTTATTCATATTTCTAGTCCATCTAACTCAACTCTGTAAAATGACTTTGGCAGTTTCACAAAATGAAAAAGAAGAAACATTATCTATGAAAAGAACAATACTGTCCCAGGAGAACAGATTAGAAAAGCATTATCCCACATCGCCCACAACCTTAAAGAGGAATATCGGGTATCCTAACCCAAAAACTTGAGAGAGCTGAGTTTTACTCATGCTCCTGATTAAACAAGCCTACACAATCTAGTGTGTCATATCTGTAACAGTAATAAACACTTTTAGGAGGTAAATTGAGTCAGAGATTTCATTCAATTAGATGACAAAATAATATTGATCACAGGGGCCTCATGTGCTAAAAGAACAACATCCTTATAGATTGGCAAGGTGATTACTCTTTGTGCCATGGGTTTATGGAAATGTAGCATGCTTAGATCAAAACAGATTTTTGTAAAACAGAAATAATGAGACTGGAAAGGGCTATAAACCATTTCTAAAGGCTTTGCTCTCTGTTACTCTGCAATCAAACAAGTTTAAACGGAGGAAATGAGAACAATTGCTATCCTTTATAGGACTGATCATCCAGTAAAAAATGCCTCCCAAAATAAGGTATAATAATAGTAAAGAATCTTCAGGCTATTCTTGTATTGCCTGACGTCGTTGTTTCATGGGCTCACCACAAGGAAAACATGGAAGGCTACCAAAGCAGAAACTGCTTCCCAAAAGTATATATGGCCACTTATCTCAAGTTAAAAACCATTTAAATGAATCCAGCAGAATATTAAAACCGGAGCTAGAAAACTGGAACTTTCTGGCACTAGCGAGAGAAGTGCCTGAATGAACAATATTAAATTTCAATAAAAGAACTTCCATCAACTGCAAACCATGTGAATAAAAATGCCCTGCAACCTTCAGGGCACAAATGGCTTACAATCCTGGAAGGAACAATGCATTCTAGATTGTACCAGGAAATTCTATAGAAGCATGTTGATTTCTACCCATGAACCGAAAGCCTGAGTGTGTTATATAACAATGACCTAAAGACACAAATCCACCAGAATAGCTGAAGCAGCAGAAATGTCACAATTTGGAAGCCCTAACTATAATAATATAACTGAAATTTTGTGGCATTATTTTGAATGGGCACTTCATACGAGCACTGAAGCAGTTCTTTAACATAAGTCAACCAAAATGGCTCCAATATAATTTGCAACATTAATCAACAGATACCTCAAATGATTTGTTGAAATCATTGCCAGTAATAGAAATGCCACCAGTTACTAAATCTAAAACTTCAAGTTGTTGTTTTTTCTAACACAGAGAATGTTGGCTCATTGAAGGCATGAAACACTTTTGAGTGTGTTTTATTAACCAGAATGTTTGAGTTGGATTTAAAGCTTAATTAAATCACAACTGCAGGATTATAGCTACATTTCCCACTGCTATTTATCCTGGGTATCAGCATACGTACTCAAATGCTCTCATTTGAAACATCACCAAATCATATCCTCTCAAAAATAATTAAATACAGTATCAAAGTTACACAAAAGATTTACAAAAAGATGTATCTAGCAAATTCAAATCTTCAGTTGTAGCATGCCATCCTCCAGTGCTTGATGAAATGATCAAATCTGAACTGGTCCCTTGAAACCCAGAAAAGGAAGTAGATTGGCTCTTTTAATGAAATGAAAAAAATTGAAAGGGTATGTCGGACTTCTTGATAGGAGATTATTGAATAATGTTAAAAAGTAAAATACTATACAGTATGGGCTAAAATGTAGTTGCTCTAGTGCTTTGGCAGGATACTGTATATTAATTCAATTGATCACTGAAGACTAAAAATGGGTTTAAAATGTTTCAATTGAATAAAGCTGCATTTTTTTTACATTTCTTAGGCAGACCAACAAAGTCTTCAGATTTTTTTTAAATTAAAACTTTTTTTGATACAACCCTACAATTTGGGAAACCTCTAGGGTCACAGTAATGTAAATTTCTAGCCATCAGCAGATTCATGTTGTGAATTTACAGGTCCAAAACTCATCTCAAAGCTCATAAATATTGGCTATATTTGAGAGGTCCTTGGTGCTCTCTGAGCTTCATTGTTTTTTCTGAATAGAATAGAACAGAACAGAATATAATTCTTTATTGGCCAAGTGTGATTGGACACACAAGGACTTTGTCTTTGGTGCATAAGCTGTCAATGTACATAAAGAAAAAATAAAATACAACACAGTGATAGTCATAGGTTACTAAAAACCAATAAAATCATGCTAGGGAACAAATAAAACTGTAAATTGTGAAGATACAAGCAACACAATTATAGTCATAAATGGGAAGAGATAGGTAATGGGAAGGATGAGAAGAAAAGGTTTCATTACACAAGAACCACCAAGAACATTCCCACCAACACAGACAAGGCAAGCCTTTGTATATAAAAAGAGCAAACTCCATTTCCTTCTAGCACTGATGATGCTACTACTTGGGTAATAAAATATCTGCAGGAAACAGCAAGCTCAGAGAGGACCAAAGACCTTAAGTAAAGTGCCCAGGATTCAGTCAGATAACACACTTGCCCAACTATTCACCTATTTGTGGACATTCCCATAAGTGCAAAATAGGATTGGATGAGTCCACATAATATTCCCAGTCCAAAACAAATCTTGTTATGTCTTCTCAAATGCCATTCTTGGAGACCTTTGGATTATGTAAGAATTTAATGGAATTATTGAGAGCCAAAGAGCAAACAGATTCAGCATTCATTCGGATACAGTGACTATTCTGTTGCTAGAGTTTTGTTCATCTGGGAATTTTTTATTTATTTGTTTTAGATAACATGTTTCATAGCCTGTGGGGCGAGGAAATTGAAATTTCAAAAGTATACCTGCTGGGCGATATAAAAAAGATGAGATTGCAAATAGACCCCCGTAGAACCCAATAGTTATAATATTGGAGCAGTCAAAGGCTTATTTTACAAATAGTAAAGAAAACGTTAGCTGTATTGGAAGAAATAGAAACTTGCGATCATTTAGCAATTTATCAATAAGATGGATCCAGATGACAAGTGATCACATTTCCACACATATATATTTAATAACTGATCCAAGTGACATGAAATTATAAAGCTATCACTACATTGTTTGATATATCATCAAAGAACTAATTAGGTTTTCCATACTATGATTAAAAACTGGATTAATTAAACCAATAAGAGAACTCCAGAGGACTGAAGAGTCCTAATTTATAAAATCCTCATTTCAAGCAGCATTTTAAATATGGATTTATTCAGAATAATCCCGAGCTTTTTATATGTAATATAGCATTGTAATATGGCAAGTAGAAAATACCAACATGCTTTTTTCTTTCCAAGTACCAAAAGGGAACATCATTGGATAAAACTACACGGGAGGAGATTAAAGCCATTTTTTAACATGTAACATTTGACCTACATTATTTTTTCCCTACAAAGAGTATTAATTGGACAGGTTTAAAAGGACCTTGGACAGGGGGAGATTATTAAGGCTCTTGATGGTCATGCATTCCCCCCCCCACCATTCAAGCTTTGTTGCGTTTGGTGTTGTGCCTTATGCAATCCCACTGGCTAATCATTTTGTTGTTAGATGGACCTGATCTAGAACTGCATTTATGTTTTTATGTCATGATGGAGAGCTAAGAATGCATATATGCGGCAGCCGAACTGGCATATAAGTAAATTACTATAATTACTAACATCTGGTTTTAAAATTAGATTACGAGGAAAGGTTTATCAAGGGTGGGTATCTCTATATAAGGGGTCTTCAAACTTGACAGCTTTAAGACTGGTAGACTTCAACTCCCAGAATTCCTCCTCCAGTCGTGTTAGCTCAGGAATTCTGGGAGTTGAAATCCACAACTCTTAAAGTTGTCAAGTTTGAAGACCCTTGCTCTATATCAGGGATGGCTAACCTTTTTGGACTCCTGTGTCAAAAATTGTGTGCGCGCTCATGTGCCAGCACCCAGAAGGCAATGTGCACCCTCCTCATGCCCCCTGCACATGCGCGCAATCCCCCCCTTATGTGCACTGTGCCTCACAGCTGATTTTTGGCATCCCAGAGGCTTGAAAAAAGCCTCTGCAGGCCGAATAATAGGCCAGTTTTGTCACTTCCAGTATTACAGAAAGTGATGAAATGGGCCTATTTTTTGTCCTGCAAAGCCTGCAGAGGCTTTTTTCAAGCCTCTGGGAGGCCGAAAAAGGCCTCAAAGGAGCCCAAAAATCAGCTGTGAGGTGCGTACATGTGCAGTGAGGTAAGTTTGTTGCTCGCGTGCCGGAACAAATGGCTCTACGTGCCACAGGTTCGTCATCACGGCTCTATATGAAGGGTAGTAGAATACATATATTAACACGGGATTTATACCCAAAATATATTATTTCCCTCCCCATAGTGGATGCTAGCGATAGTCCTCGACTTATTTAATGACTGTTCAAAGTTCCAGTTGGCATTGAACAAGTGACTTATGACCACACACTTTTCACCCATTGTAGCATCCCCCACGGTCATGTGATCAAAATTCAGGTGCTTGGCAACTGACTCATATTTGTGACCGGCTGCAGTGTTCATTGCAATGTCCTTTTTGCGACCTGATAAGCAAAAATCAAGCCTGGTTCCCTTAACAGTCCCCTATTCCTAGCTTAACACCTGCGGTGATTCATTTAGCGGCAGTGGCAAGGAAGGTCGTACAAATGGGGAAAGCGCCCTGAACAAGGATCTCGCTTTACAACAGAGATTTTTGGGCTCACTTGTGGCCGTAAGTCGAGGATTACCTGTCGAGGAGCCAAAACAAAACTATTTGAAGCATATGAAATGGGCCATTGAACTACTTGATAATGCCAGTTAAACGTCGGGCAAAAAAATAAAGTGCACAGCTATTCAGAAGTCGTGTGTGGATTGCAACAAATCCAAACCACCACCACCCCCCGCTGTAATTTTGCAAGCCTATTGTAACCCCCCACTAAGCGCGTTAGGCGCTTTTGCTTCTTTACCAACGTTGCCAATTCGGTTTCTAGCGCCGCCCATCTCACATAAGCCTTCCTCGGCTGTTTTTCTTAGGCCGATGCATTCGAGGGAAGCAAGGTGGGGTCGTGTTGGGGCCCCAGAGCAGCCTTCTCCCCCCCTCGCCTCCCCCGATCCGCGGCGGTGGGAGCGAGCGCCAACCCCGGGGACGTAAAAGCGACTCCCCCGCGCCCTCTTCCTAAGGCGTAGCCCCCCCCCCCAAAAAAAAGCAAGCCGAGCTTGATCGCTTTGAAGTGTAGCAAACATCCCGAGAGTCGAAACAAAACGGGCCAATCAGCGCCTTTCCTTAGCCGGCCGATTTGCATGCGAATGCCAACTCAGCGCACGCTGCGAGGGGCGACCCCGTTAAAGGGCGGAAGGGACATCCGTTGCAACGGGGGGGGGGGGGGGGGGGAGGCGGAGCTTGCGCCCGTGCACCGCCCCGGCGGTGGGAGCCGGCAGATCCGGGTCTCCTTGCAAGGGCCGGAATCTGACGTAGTCAGTGCAATCAAAACACAAGACGAGAAGGTGGATTTCTTCTCTGCACAGCCTCGCCAAAATTGCCCCGAGCCGCCAATTTGGTGAGTTTGGTTTGGCTCCGGCTTCTTCAGCACCCCCGAGTCTTGGGCTGCGGTTGAAAGGGGTGCAATCCGTTGCCGGAGTGGCTGCGAGGAGAGAAACGGGTGGGGTTGGGGTTGGGACCCTACAAAGTTTCGCCGCTTGGATCCAAACCAGATCCTCCAGCTTCCCTTTTTTTTTTTTTTTTTGCACCCTGGAGCCCAGCTGCTCCCCAGAGAGAAATCCATAGGATGAGGGATGAGCCCTTTGCGGGCAATCCCTTTGCACGAATGGCTGGGGAGAAAGTTGCTCGTTAAATAGCGATCATCTGGCGTTGCAATCCTGTGATCGCGTTTTGCCTCGGCGTCTTCGTGGCTCGATCTCGAGAGGCAGCCGGCCGTTTATTAGGCTTTACTGGCTAAGATTTGTTTGTTCTGTGCATTCCGATTTATTTTGCGACTTAATCGAGCAATACAGTTGATAAACGGGGTTTTGTCTTTCTGGAATTCTTTGAAAGTGATGTATTTATGTGGGCTCAGTGAGGTCATCAGGTAGCCTTGCTCCCTATAGAATGCTTGAAACGCGATGAGGCAGACCTGACTAGAAAAAAAAGAGAGTAAGGTATCGTTATTATTCAATACCTTTAGTTATTATACCATTTAATACACTGAGCAACCGGGTGGAGCCCTCTGTAATGTCCATGTTGAGTGACAACTTTATTATACCGATAAAATCTTCATGCTTTATCAGAACTGAACTTATCCTGGGTCATAACTTCCCATCCATGCTGAGCACAAACCCTTTTAAACTGCCCATATAATTTTATTAGTTATTCCAAATGATCGGGTGTAGTTTTTTTTTTTTTTTAATAAAAATCACCAAAGCAAGAGCAAATCGGTGTAGCCTCTTAAAAATAATACCACCGTGAAGTGCTTGTGCCTGAACAACTTTGAAAACTGGTCTTTTGCCTCCTGGGACACGTCAGGGGTTGACATCTCAAAAAAATGACTTTATAGGTATGCACTGCTCAATTTTTTTAAAAAGAAGAAAGTATATATTCCCTGCTTCTTAACGGACTTGGGTTAATCAATTCTGGTCACTACTATACAAAAAAAAATGCAGAGGCCTTAGAAAATGCAGCTACAAAGATAAGTGCCTGCAAGCTAAATTACATAAACATAATTATTGGGTAATGAACTGTTAAGGAACCAGCATGTTTAGTCTAATGAAAAGGGGACGTAATAGCATCTTCCAATACTGGAAGGACTATCACAGGAAAGAGAGGGTTGCACCCGAGGACTGGACAAGAAGTAAACTGGTGGAAGCTCCTCAGAAGGAGAGCCACCCTGGAAATAAGGAATAATTTCCTGACAGCCAGAACTATTAAACAGATGAACAGCTTTCCTCCCAGAGTTGTGACTGCTCCATCGCTGGAGGTTTTCAAGAAAATATTGGACAACCAATATTTGCCCTGGATGATATAAGGTTCTTACCTTGGGCAGGGGTTGGGCTAAAAAACCTTTCAGGTCTCTTCCAGCCCTAGGATTCTATAAACCTCAAAAAAGTTAAAAGGATCCACCTTCCTACTTGAATGTGGGATACTCATATTAGGCCGAAAAGTACAAATCACCAAAGCAAGAGCAAATCACTTTTATATTCTTGCCAAGGATAGGGCATATAGATACGTTTGTCACCTTCAGTTATTTGTAAAAAATGAATATAGTTAGAGAGGAACTGAGCTCCCCACTTAAGGAAGATAACTTTTTTTTAAAAAAAAAATATCAGTATGCTTTAGTTGCTTTTTTTTCTGTTTGCTCTTCCTTTCCAATCCTTTACTGCTTCTGACATGTCCTGTTTATTGTTGCTTTAAAAAAAACTCCACACACACACCAAACTCAAGTCTAAAGTTGCAGCTGATCAACAGAGCCAATTGTGAAGTTTCTGGGCTGTAGCCAACGGCAACTATCTTGACTCTCCAGGATGATCAGTGAAGGATTTTCCTGCCTAATAATTCTCCACTCGCTTTGAAATGCTGAAAAGGTTTTCAAGAATGGATAGAAGCTGGTCCAGAAAATTAAAATCCCTGTGGTCAGTAATGGATCTGGTTTTTTTTTCTTTGTTCATTATCTTCCCTTGAATTTTTATCCTATCCTTCTACCTTTCTCATTCTGATTTGGCTGTTTTTGCTCTTAATTCCCATTGCATTTTATTCCTGGGAGGGAAAAATGTATTTATCTCCCATTTTTTACCTCTAATTACCATTATCAGTAATGGCATTCGTTCCCCCTGGAAGACTGGAATTAACATATAATAAAAGGTCCCTTTGAGATTGGTTTCAGGAAATGCTAGCAGTTATAGATTGTTTTTTTTAAAAAAAACCAGTATGACCAGTTGGAAGGGATGGGAAAGAATGATTAGCACATAATATGCACTTGAGGAAGAAAGACCAAAAAAAGAGATTTGGTGCATAGTATCAGGAATTGTCCTTCTGTAAATACCTGTGACATTAAAAAGTTATTTCTTTCCAGATTTTTTTGAACTACAAAATAGTTTCCTTCTATGTTGACTATGACCTGCAGGAATTGTCTTATGGCGACACATCTGGGTTTGTGTGTGCACATATGGCAGAGAAATAGACAAAGATTGACTAATATTTTGGCCGTGCTCTTGATGACTGTGCTTTTGTGGGGGGTTAGGTAGAAGAGGAACATTTTTTTTATAAAGAGCAGTATATTCAGCTCTATAACTCATCCAATTGCTAAGTGTCCTCAAATGCAAATTGCATCTAGCTTTTTTTTTAAAAAAATCCAGTTAGTAATTGTGACTGGGGTTAAATTGACAAAAGAACACACACAATCGTTTAAACAGGGGGCCTTTTCCTCTAACTGCGAAGAGATATATTACAGGACTGATATTTGTAAGTTTACTGACCTCTTTTTCGACACTGGACTTTGCAACTGATTAATCCCCAGACGACTGAACTAAGTGTATGATATATGGACTGTTTGACTATGCTATAAATCTTACTGGAATAAACTATTTAACTAGCACATTGTATCTGTTTTACTGAGTGTAAGCTACAAAAACGTTTATCTCACATATTTGCCTGCCTGCCTGACTGCCGTGCAGGTTCTGCTAGGGTGTATACCCCTAACACATACATCTTGAATTATACCTTTATCTGTAGGTCACAAACCCTTCAGATCTATTCACCCTAACCCTTGCTAGGTGGAAAAATTTTTTTGAACCTTTGTGTTTTCAGTAAAATGTACCTGCTTTTGTTCCTGGCGGTTCTAATTTCTGCACAGACTCTTTTGAAAGTCTGATCAGTGTAAGGATTATCAAGGACAGAGAGGTAAGGGATGATAAGGGAGGGTGATAGGCAGATGAATGGGCTCTTGATTTTTAGCTGATAGGAGGGCAGTTTGGTTTTTTTTAAAGATCTTTTGAAATCCTGCTCCTGTCTACAGACTTAAAGCCTCAGGGAAGAAAAATAGAATATTTAAAGGGAGGAAGGTTTTTCTGATTTTTCCCTCTCTCTCTCCTGCCCCTCTGGAAATATGGAGACTTCACAGCCATATGCCACAGGCTGCAACTGCTATCAATCCAAAAGGGTACCGATAGAGGAGAATACTTGCAATTTAGGGTTGAACTATGCAGAAATGGCTTAACAGTTAAGGATATTAAGAGTTCTGACATTAGAAGCCCTTTATTTAATATCTTTACATTGTGCATGTGATTGTATAATTGAATATTTAAGGGCCGTTTAAAAAAATTAATATCCTAATTTCTTCTCCACCAACCTCGATACAATGCAGGCTTAGTGACACACTCTAATATTTATTTATTGACATCTTGCGTGAATTCTTTTTATAGATAACTCAGACTAGCGTGTTACTACTCTTTCCTTCTCCAATTGTCCCGGCAACAACAATCCTGTGAGGTTAATTAGTCTGAAAGAGATACATCTAGCTTTCATGCCGAAAGGTAGGACTAGAATTCACAGTCTCCTGGTTTCTAAGCCAGCACCTTCATCACTAGACCAAACTGGTTCTATGTATGTTGTTAGGGTTCTTTTTCAGGCTTGATTTTAGGCAAATGTATTTAACACCTCTTGTTAGAATTTCAAGAAAGTTGCCGTAGCCCCACGCTAATCATTGTATTTTATCTTTCCAATTTACGTAGCTGATTGGCTTTGATGAGATCAAGGACAGAAAGACAGCAACCTATGACAATCCAAATTCTAAAGCTTTTATTTGCAAGGAGGTCAGGACAAACGTTTAATGATTTTTTTTTCAGTGCTGCAGTAATATTGTGGGATGAAAACTGTCTCAGTCCATAGTTTCAACCACAATGTAAATATCTTTTTGTACACTTCACTGTGCAAGCTATTAAAACGTCAGCAACATGGTGAGATACATTTGTCTGAAACCAAGTAATTTGCATTACCTTACCGTAAGATACTGTTTTTTAATGAAAGTTTGTTCTGTCTCATGAGAAATTTCTCATTTCCTACTTTCATCAATATATTTAGCATAGGTGCTATATAATATTTTCAAAACATCCATTTTGAGACAAAGCTGCTGATAATGTTTTGTTATTTTAGGACAGTTAATCCTCAACTTACAACCACAATTGAGGCCAAAATTTATGTTGCTAAGACAGACAGCTGTCAAGTGAATTTTGCCCTGTTTTACGATCTTTTTTGCCACCATTAAGTGAATCACCACAAATCTGGCTTCATTGGTTTGTTTGTCAGAAGGTCGCAAAAAGGACTAAAGGAACTATTGTAAGTGGAAGACAACCTGTATAGACTTTAGAACTTAATTATCTGCTGTTGAATTCCATGCTGAAATATTTTAAATAGCTTTTAATCACCCAAAAGATAGTTGACCAAATTGTTTTACACATGGCAGAGTCTTTACTTTTTTAAAACAGTAGAAAGCAAGCCTGCAATATTTTGTCCGTTACAAATATTAGGTAGTCTTTGACTTATGACTGCAATTGAGCCCCAAATTCCCATTGCTAAGTGAGACAGTTGTTAAGTGAGGTTTGCCCCATTTTATATTGGAGTAGGATTCACATCTTAATACAGAAGATTCCCTAAGTGATTATAAAGATAAAACTTTGGGGTTTAATGCAAAAAAAAATGGAAAAAGATTGGAACTTTGATGTTATATATGTTGACGACAGCAAAATTACTTTATGAGCAATAATGAAAGGACACTTGGATTCCCACAATAGATAAATGGCTGCAAAAATTGATGGAATTAGAGATGGCTAAACTGGCTGCCTTGATTAAAGGAGGAAAAAAACACAATTACTTTTGTTTCTCCTTGGAAACCTCTTCTGGGCTTTGTGCTCGAGGTGGAAAAAAATGAAACTTTGATTTTGAGTTTTACCTGTTAGGTTTGTTGTTATAGAAATGGCTAGTTTATACTATTATGTAAAAGTAAAAAGCTGAGGTTTGATGTTATTACCTTATTTTACTGCACCAAACGGAGTTGGAAGTCAACACCTTTTCTTTATTTTATTTTAACCCTTGTTCCTATGCTTTTCTCTTCCCCAATCTTTCCTACTATTTTTGTTTGTATTTTTGCCAATAATAATAATAATAATAATAATAAATAATAATAATAATAATGAAGAAGAAGAAGAAGAAGAAGTCATCTTTATTGATTAGCCCTTGGGCCATATCAAAGTGCAAAGTTCGAGCAACAATTTGTTACCAAAAGTCAACAAAAACAATTCAAAATGAAATTTGATAAAATACTATTTAAAATGGAACTTGATAAAATACAATTTAAAATGGAATCTAAATAAAATACGACTCAAGATGAAATAGTAATAAAATACAATCCAAAATAAAATTGTAATAATGTACTATAATTTAAGATATAGATAAAATATAATAACATTATATTTCGGAGTCGCCCTTGCAATCTACCCCAATCAATCCCACATATGCAGATCTCAACTGAATAATTTTGTTTAAATATTGTGCTACTTTAAATGTTATTTTCAAGTTCTGGCCGGACATAAGGTAAGTTATTTTGGTATCCCAGTGGGTCATTCGTCTGATATATAGACCAAGATTCCTGTCTCTCATCCTATACAGGCAACAGTCCAATAGGATGTGAGCCAGGTCCTCTACTTCTGCCGCTCTGCAAATGCAGAGACGCTCATTGTCCGGTATTGCATGAAATCTCCCGTATCTAACCATTGTGTCAAGCTGTTCAAATCTCGCTTTGGTGAATATCTGCCTAAGATGTTTTGGGAGTTGTGATTTCAAATCTACTTGGAAAGTACATTTGTATTTACTCAACCATTTCAAGTTACCTACCTTACTAAGGATAGCTATATCAGTTTGTGCATCTGTATCCTTAATTCTTTGGGCAACTCTTCTTTTTAGATTGTTCTCCTGTTACACAAGAGATAGGAAGACCACAGCTTCTTACAAAATTTGTTAGTTTAATGATCCAGGAGATTTGTGATTGTAGTTTTATTTGCTCTAGTAGGCATAATTTGGGTAGTCTATCAGTCTCCATTTCATTAACTTTGCACCAGTAGTTATAAGCTCTAATTTTAGATAATGCCTGAATTGTACAGTATAAATTCCCAATTCAGCTCTAACTGCTGCAGCAGATGTTCTTGGGTCTGCACCCAAAATACATCTCAAATGCTGGGACTGTGTTTGTTCTATGACTGTGGTTGAGTAAAGACCCCAAATTTCTGCTCCATACAAGAGCATTGTGGTAACCTTAGCCTTATAAACCTTGATTAATGGGACTAGGGACCCTGGAGTATTAATACATAAACTATACAAAAAAGAACCTCAGAATACGGCAATCATCATATATATGAAGTAGTTGTCAGACATCTGAATTTTGATTTTGTGACGACGGGGATACTGCAATGGTTGTAAGTGTGAAAAATGGTCCCAACTCACTTTTTTCAGTGCTGTTGTAACTTCGGTCATTAAATGAACGGTTTTAAGTTGAGGACTACCAGTAATAGTGTTCAGCACAAAATGACTTTTGCTACTAAGAATCGGTTGAGATCACTTTGGCAACTTGAAGGCATAATCTGTGTGATTAATTATTGCACAATCAAAATTGCCACGTTCCGTTCTACTTTTGTATTTACCTTGATATAAGCCTTTGTTTTATACTAGTTAAACAGGTGTGGCAGGAAACAGCCGGTAAAGAAAGAGGTACAGCCTAAAAGTAACATCCTTGTTTCCTTTATAATTTTCATAAAGGTTTGTTTACATGTACTTTTTCTAATATCTTTTTGGAGCCTCTGATACAGGTGGCTATTCTTTAGCAAACTCCCATGGAAAAACTACAGATTACAGAATTATCCTGCATTTTTAAAAATTTGTATTTTATTTATTTGTATCCTGGCCTTCTCTACAGTGGCTCCCTCCCTTTGGAACATCACTCCTTCAGAAATAAGGTTGACCCACTCCTTCCTTCTCAGAAAGGCCTTGAAGACATCATTCTGTCAGTGGGTTTGGGGACCCCAGATTGATTCAGAGACGATCAAAGGGCTTGTATTATTGTATTTGTCGCTGCCATGGGGATGTGAGTTTCTTATTGATTTTTAGTGTTTTAAACCACCCAGATACACCATGTGTGAGTTGGGCAGCCAGAGAGTTTGGACTAGTTAAGGCACCAGGCTAGAAAGAAAGAGACTGTGAGTTCTAGTCCCACTTTAGGCATAAAAGCCAGCTGGGTGACTGGGCTCATCACCAGGAGACAGTGAGTTCTAGTCCCATCTTAAGCATGAAAACCAGCTGGGTAACTTTCGGCTGATCACAAGGAGATGGTGAGTTCTAGTCCGCCTTAGCTATGAAAACCAGCTGGGTAACTTTGGGCAAATCACCGGAAGGTGGGAATTCTAGTCTCCCTTAGGCATGAAAGATGGCTGGGTGACCGGGTCAACCACCAGGAAATGGTGAGTTCTAGTCCTGCCTTAGCTATAAAAGCCAGCTGTCTGACCTTGGGCCAGTCATTCTCTCTCAGCACCCCAACCCACCTCACAAGGTTGTTGTTATGGGGAAAATAGGAGGAAGGTGTATTGGATATGTTTGTCGCCGTGAGTTATTTGTGAAAACAAAGGCGGGATATCAGTGAATGAACCAATAAAAATGAATATAAAAATAAAATTATATAAATATAAAAATAATTATATAAATATATAACTAAATCCATCCCCTTTTGTTTCTTCCTAGGGTCTATTAACGCTCCAGGCCCATCCCTAACATGGCAGAAGGCGGCTTTGACCCCTGTGAGTGTATTTGCGCGCAAGAGCACGCCATGAGGAGGTTGATCAACCTGGTAAGGATAATCTGGGGGACGAGAATCTTGTCCTGTGGAGTTGGGCTGCTTTGAAGAGCCTTCAGATCCAATCTTCATGGATAAGGGAAGCCAACCCCTCTTGGGTTTTCCATCCCATGCAGTCAAATGCAAATAGCGATGTGCTTGGAAGACTCCTCCCACTTTCCTGCATGGATGGAGGAACGGAAGGATAGATGGACAAATAGACAGCCACCCACCCTGCTCTAGTTCTCTATAGATGCCTGTATGTTCTACCTCCCACAGCTGCCAAAGGAGGTTTTTCAAGCTAGACATTGTGACCAGAATTGAGCCCAACGTTTCTGTTGATGAGCGAGACAGTGAAGAGAATATTGTCCTAACTTGCCACAGTTGTTCAGTCAACTCCTGCAGTGGTTAAGCCAATCTGGCTTTCCAGTTGATTTTTCCAATTGTCGGACGGTCATAAAAAGGGGATCGCACGAACCCTGGAAGGCTGCCATCTATCCTTCCGTCGTAAATATGGGACAGTTTCCGGGAAAGTCTGAATCAACGGTTGTAAGTGTGGGGGAAAAAATGATCATGTCGCTTTTTTCAGTGCCATTTTGACATTGAGTAGTCACTAAATGAACTGTTGCAAGTTGAGGCCACCAGAAGTTGTAAATGCTCCAACACTGGAAGTTTTTAAGAAGAGATTGGATAACCATTTGTCTGAAATGGGGTAGGGTTTCCTGCCTAAGCAAGGGTTGAACTAGAAGACCTCTGAGGTCCCTCCCAACTCTCTTATTCTATTCTATAATATGTATTTGTCCGGAAGGTAACCGAGTCTGTGAGGAGGAGCCAATGAGCTCAAATTTTTCTTATCCAATGGAGCTGTGCCCATGTGTGTATGCCTGCCACTCACACACACCCCACCGTGGGCATCAGGTTGGGCCCCCAAAATAGAAAGTGGGGGACACTGTCTTATAAGATTGACCTTTCTCCCAAAGTAGTGTTTTAAATATCGTGTTTTCCTGAAAATAAGACCCTGTCTCATATATCTATATCTATATATCTATATCTATATCCACCAAAAAAGGCACCAGGTCTTATTTTCAGGGGGTGCCATCCACTGACTAACCTCACTTGCGTGCGTCACCCCCAGGCTCCTTATCTCTGTCAGAGGCCTTCAGGAACTTCTTCTGCAGCTGGCAAGGCTTTCCTGAAGGTCTCTGCAGCCGAAAACAAAGCTCTGGATCGATCCTGAGTTTTGTTATCGGCTCCAGAGGCCTCCAGGAAAGCCTTGCCAGCCTTGCCAGCTGCAAAAGAAATGGGCCGGTAAAGCAAGTGTCAGGGTGTATGAGGCCTAGCTACACCTGTCCAAAGGTAAGTAGTATGGCAGCCCCACCCCCATTCCCCACTCTAGCTTCATTTTTACCATCCACTCTGGAGTGGGTGGGATCTTAATTAGGGCTTATTTTGGGGATAGGGCTTATACTGGGCTCACGTGAAAAAATCAAGCTAGGACTTACTTTCAGGATAGGTTGTATTTTCAAGGAAACAGGATATCATATCTATATACTGCTTAGCTAGGAGGTTGCATTATAGAAACAGTTCCATTTTAGTCTCCAGAAAGGCAGCAAAAGGTATGACATCCTCTTACACGCTGAGGGTAAATGTCAGTTAATGCACCTCTGGAAGGAACTGCCAAGCCACTACCTCCTAAAGTAGGAAACAGATCTTGGGTGCGAAGAGATTTTTATTGGGGGGGAGGGGCAGAAATGAGTCCTCCAGCCTTTTGCAGCTGAGTCGTTCTGCTACAATGGTCTTACTGGTTCCTGTAATTTTATATATGAGCCTTTTAAAAAGAGAAATGAAGCAGTGAGATTTTTCACATAAGCTGTAATCGTTATGCTTCGGGGATTAAGGCGACTTCTCCTTTTCTTGCTTTAACTGTCTCATTCCTACACCTGGAACATCCGTAAACTTCTTCAACCATTTCCAGGAGGCCTGGTCTCAACAGTTTTTTGATTTGGGGTTGGGTTTTTTTGCTCAGATATGATTTAAAGAAAATGTAGGAGTTGCAATCTCCATATCTGGTGTTTGCAGAAATGAGGAATGTATTTTTTCCTTTGGGGTAACTTGTTTATTTGTGGAGGGTCTTCTCGATTTTTAAGCCCTCTTTTCACATCCAGAAAGAAAAAATAATACCAGAAGATAGAAATAGGTTTCCATAAGTCACACAAAATAAAGAAAAAAAATGTCTTTGATCATATTAGCATTTCTGGGATAGCAAAATAAAAGTCCACACAACAGAATTTGGTACGACCGTAGGAATTACATGTTCTGAGAACCGCTACAGCCACCAAGAGTCCTTATGATTTAATGTTCAAATAGCATTGATGATGTTATCTAGTCAGGTAATGAAACATCTGCAAGAAAACAACCAAAGCAAGGACCCCATGGTTCAACCTTGAGCTACAAATATTCTCCTTTATTGGTACCATGTTTCCCTGAAAATAAGACCCTGTCTTTTATTTTTTGCCACTAAAAAGGCACCAGGTCTTATTTTCAGGGGAAGTCATCCACTAACCTCACTTGTGCACGTCACCCCCTGCAGAGGCCTTCAGGAACTACTTCTGCAGCTGGCAAGGCTTTCCTGAAGGCCTCTGCAGCCCATAACAGAGCTCTGGATTGTTATCAGCTACAGAGGCTTTCAGGAAAGCCTTGCCAGCCTTACAGGCTACCAAAGAAATGGGTTGGCAAGGCAGGTGTCAGGGTGTGCAAGGTTTGGCTACAACTGTCCAAAGGTAAGTAGTAGGGCAGCTCCACCTCCCCATCCCTACCCTAGCTTATTTTTTTCCTGTCCACTCTTGAGTGGGGTGGGATCTTAATTAGGGCTTATTTTGGGGAGGGCAGGGGAGGGCTTATATTAGGTGCATGTGTAAAAATCAAGCTAGGACTTACTTTCAGGATAGGTCGTATTTTCGGGGAAACAGTATTTATCCCCCCCCCCCTCCCCAGCAATTCTCCTGTCTTGTCACCAACAGGCAGACTTTTAATCATTATGCTAATCCACAGTTACTCAAGTAACGTCGATAAAATGGAAAACGCTGTATTTTTCTATGAAAATTGCTGGGAAGCTCACATTGATGTGTTTTTCCAACACAATACTAGCATGTGTTCCTTGTTCATTCCTAAGGTTATTGGATCAAACTATTTTCACATCCAAATTCAAGATGCCTACCCAAGAGTAGCATCACACTGGCAGTTTCTTGGGTAACTTACTATACATTTGCTATACAGCCACAATTGAGCCCAAAATTTCTGTTATTAAGTGAGATGTTTGTTAAGTGACTTTTGTCCCATTTTATGACCTTTCTTGTCCCAGTTGTTAAGTGGCTCACAGGGGGGGTTTAAGAAGAGACATGTCTGAGATTGTATAGGTTCTCCTGCTTGGGCAGGGGGCTGGACTAGAAGACCTCCAAGGCCCCTTCTCGCTCTATTCTATTCTAAATTCTAAACGAACTGTTGTAAGTTGAGGATTTGTTTTGAGGATGACCGAGTCCAGAAGGGGGAGCCCATGAGCTCAAATCTTGCTTCTCCATGTGTTATTTCAATTTTGCAACCTATTGTTTAAAAGTGATGCTCCTTACCTTAATGATGGAGTGACATGATAGCCCAACGGTGAGGGAGCTCTCTTCTCACAATCAGGAGGCCGTGAGTTTGATCCTAGGTAACAACAGATATTTCTCTCTCTGGATGCAAAGAGTTGATTGTCTGCTGCGAACGCCACCAGTAAATGCTCAGTTCCTATCAGTCCCCATCCCGAAGCAAGGGATTGCATGGTCCTTCAAAGAAAAAGAAATCCTTATCCCAATAATAATAATAATCTGTTTTCAATCTTTCCTTTCCTAAACTTCAGAGTTCTTGGGAAATCTACTTTTACTGTTAATCTTCTCATCACTCCTTATCACCCATCCCCTCCGACTTGTGACTCTATGGCTAACTTTGTCGCTTGTATCCTTATGATGTATATAGACTGTTTCCTAGTATAATTTGATTGCTTATTGTACCCTATGACTTTATTAAGTGTTGGACCTTATGATTCTTGACAAATGTATCTTTTCTTTTATGTAACACAGAACATATGCACCAAGGCAAATTCCTTGTGTGTCCAATCACACTTGGCCAATAAAGAATTCTATTCTATTCTATTCTTGACTATGCTCCCAAGCATAAAAATGCAAGCATATACAATGATTCTGAGCTATAAAATTCCAAATATGGCAAGGTTTTCTCTGGAAAGGATATCTTTGACACTAAAGTCTCTTCACGAAGTTTACTATGGGGTTTTCCAATGGATGGTTCCACTCTTTTAGAAGATGGGGCCCACCACCTCCCATCTTAATATGGTCGCTACACAAAGCAAGTATTTTGATTTAACAGATGACAGATAATCAGAGTTGGAAGGGAACTTGTAGGTCATCTAGTCCAGCCCCCTGCCCAAACAGGAGACCCTACACCATTTCTGACAGATGGCAGTCCAATCTCTTCTTGAAAGTGTCAAGTGATGATGCTCCCACAACTTCCAAGGGCAACTTCTGTTCCATTGGTTGATTGTTCTCACTGTCAAAAAGTTTCTCCTTATTTCCAGGTTAAATCTCTCCTCCTTCAGTTTTCATCCATTGTTCCCTGTCTGGCCTACAGATGCTGTAAAAAATAGCTTGACCCCCTTCCTCCTCTCTGTGGCAGCCCCTCAAATATTGGAAGACTGCTCTCATGTCTCCCCTGGTCCTTCACTAGACTAGCCAGGCCCAATTCCTGTAACCGTTCTTCGTATATTTTAGTCTCCGGTCCCTTAATCCTCCTGGTTGCTCTTCTCTGCACTCTTTCTAGAGTCTCAACATCTTTTTTATAGTGTAATGACCAAAACTGGATGCAGTATTCTATGTGTGGTCTTACTAAGGCTTTATAGAGTGGTATTAGTTCCTCACTTGATCTCGATTGTATCCCTCTGTTAATGCAGCTTAGGAGTGCATTTGCTTTTTTGCTGCACACTGCTGGCTCATATTTAGCTGGTTGTCCACTAAGTCTCCAAGATCCCTCTCACAGTTACTGCTATTGAGCCTGGTTTCACCCAGACTTAACAACATCAGATTTAATTTCAGCTTGTCAATTCCCAAGAGCACAATTGGGATTTGAAGTTTTTTGAAGTTTGACTCGAGAATCATGATTTAATTAGGGTGATTGCTGGAATCTTGACAGCGTGATGGTCATGATGTTGGCATTAAGAATTAGAATGTAATAAACGAAAGGAGCTCTCTAGAAAATTCGCTAATGCAGCCACATGGCTTTCCATCAGCTTAAATTTATGTTACTATTACCCTCTTTTGTTTAAAAACAAAGCACACACAAACACATGGAGCAAGGTACAAATCTGTTTATGGACTCATTAGAAGCAATAAAAAATCAGGGACATAATAAACACATCTATACAGGGTTTTCTTGGTTTCTATTTTCTTTTAACAATAGAGAACTCATTTGTGTGCTCTGCATTTATTTATTTTTTTGGAAAGGCTCTCTGTTAGTGCAAGATGGAAGACCAGAGAGCTGGTGCTTTCCCATTGCTTTGCAAAATCAGTGCAATATCTGATTCAGTTTAAAACTCAGGTTTTGCATATTTCATCACGATTCAGGAACCAGATACTGCAACATGGATACCTATTACAGCTGTATTCAGTTTATTTAAAGAGGGTTTAGACCACAGAGATATAATTATTGTGTTTTTTTAAATGTTTAACTTCTGAGGGCTACCTGTTGTATGGAAACATTTATAGCAATTTGGATTTTTTTTTAAAGGCAAACCAGGTGTGTTAAGGTGAGTCTTCAGTGTGTAAGCAGCCTTAGATTTATGATTGCAGTTGAAGCCAAAATTTCTGTCACTAAGTTGGACCATTGTTAAAGTGAGTTTTGTCCCCATTTTACGACCTTTCTTGCCACGGTTGTTAAGTGAATCACTGCAGTTGTTAAATCAGTAACATGGTTGTAAAATCAGCCTGGCTTCCCCATTGACTTTGCTTGTCAGAAGGTTGCAAAGGGCGGTCATGTGACCCTGCAACTGTCATAAGTACAAGTCAGTTGCCAAGCGTCCCAGTTTCGATCACGTGACCATGGGGATGGTGCAATGGTCATAAGTGTGAAAAATGCTCACAATTTACTCTTTTCCAGTGCCTTTGTTACTTCGGCCGCTAAACAAATGGTTGTCAGTTGAGGACCAGCTGTAGGGCTGAAAACTGAATAAAGCAGGGCTGGGTTAGGAAGCCAGGACAAAAGAAACAGTTATGCTATGTGTAGGTCCTATTTTGCCCTAGAATGGAATCAGTGTGGACTTTTAGGAAATACATATAGTGATATTATTTGCAGTTTTTCTAAAGTTTCCAATTATATGTAGCAATAAACTTTTATCCTGTGTTTTCCCAAAAATAAGACCCTGTCTTATATTTGTTTTGCCACCAAAAAAGGCACCAGGTCTTATTTTCGGGGGATGTCATCCACTGACTAACTTCACATTCATGCATCGCCCCCGGCCTCTTTTTCACTGTCAGAGGCCTTCAGGAACTTCTTCTTCTGTGGCCGGCAAGGCTTTCTTGAAGGCCTCTGCAGCCAATAAGAGAGCTCCAGATCAATCCAGAGCTTTCTTATCAGCTACAGAGGCCTTCAGGAAAGCCTTGCTGGCTGTAGAAGAAATGGGCTGGCAAGGCAGGTGTTGGAGTGTGCGAAGCCTGGCTACAACTGTCCAAATGTAGGGTAGCTCCACCCCCACATCCCCACCCTAACTTAATTTTTACCGATCCATTCTGGAGTGGGCGGAATCTTAATTAGGGCTTATTTGGGGGGATAGAGCTTATATTAGGCTCATGTGCAAAAATCATGCTAGGACTTTCTTTCAGGGTAGGTCGTATTTTGGGGGAAACAGGGTAGTTACAGAGGGCAATTTATGTTGTCTTTATTGGCCAATGTCATATTTCTCAGAAAGTTGTCACTGGCTCTGCTATGAATTGAGAGAAATTCTGAAGAATATCTACATTTCTGTGAGCAACCAGAGTTCGCAGGAGCTTACAGAATAAGATGCACCAACATTTTATAAACTATCATGGTGGACAGCAGACATGGATTTCTTATCAGTGACATTTAATTCTCCAGTGTATTTTAATGTTTGGAAATTGTCCAACAAGCTGGTGAAATGTAATTAAACTTGTATTGTTGTTTTCATTTCAGTTACGGCAATCTCAGTCCTACTGCACGGATACAGAATGTCTTCAGGAATGTAAGTAATTGGAAGGCAAGAATAGTTATATGAATAGGTGGTTACAATGCGAAACATGATGATTGAGGAAGAAATACATTACACAAGCCAGTGTAGCTAAGCCAAAATTTTATCTGTGCACACTGCCTATTGTCTCTGTTCTTATTAAGACAGGCATCGTGTTAGCTCTAATTAATCTGAACTGGAAAAAAGTACATTCCTTTCTACATTATATTAAGCAAAGATTTCAAACTGGATTTGTTTCTTGCTTGCTTCCAAGATAACTCAGCCTTTACCAGTTGCTATTATAACCAGAATAATCAATTATGATTATTTATGATTTATGATTATAAATTATGGAGTTGGAGATTGTGCCAGTTGTGGCCATAATTATAATCTGGGATGATATATTATAGTGGTTGCCAGAATAAATTTTTAATTTAAGTGATAATTTGGTTATACATTGTGCTAATTGTGATGATTAGTTATAATAAAGTAGATTGTCTTAAGGTAATACATTAAGGCCCAAATGGTCTGCTTCTTGTTTGCCTCTGACTCATCCTTCTGTAATTCCTTTGCTCCCTGATGGGTGTTTTAAAAATTGGGGAGGAAGTAAGTGATTTGTGGTTCAGCTGAAGTCAGAATGTATGTCTGTTTTGCTATTACAAATAAATGAGTCAGGTTTGAAAATCATCCTAGTCTGCCACAGACATTAACATATGCAGATCTGTCTGTCTGTGTGTGTGTGTGTCTCTCTCTCTCTCACATTCCCTCCCTCCCCCCTCATGAATTTTTGCTTTCAAACTGTCCCAAGTAGCAATTGTGACAAAAGCATACCATATGTTAGCAACTCCTGAATTGTTTATGTTCCAACATCCCCTCCCAATAAAAGTGGAAACTCTTATCATACCAAAAAGTATAAAGAATGCGAGAAGACATTCCAGAGTAGGACTGGTACAGAAAACAGATGTGTAGATGCATGTGATATAAAACTTAGGCCTTTAAATAAAATTTGATAGTTGGGAAAGTTACTCCCAGATACCTGAATTTTAATTCTGTAAGCTAATGCACTCTCCTCCTGTAAGTTCAGACAGATAACAAATATGAATAATGTACTACAGACATATGAACAGTAATGATAATTATTCCCTTAATTTTGATGACACATACATGCATTTCTATTTCTGCATAAGATGTTCAGCATATTTAAGAGCTGGGAGAAAAATACCCTGCTATTCAAATACTGTTATTTCTTGCTATGACTTATTTACTTTTTCCCCTCCCCCAAATGAAGCATGCCACTAACTAATACCTTTGCTTGGTAAAGCTGAAAGACTCATTCATACTTTTGACAAATAGTCTTTTCATTAAGAGAGCTCTCATGCAGGATATGCCTGGTTTGGAGTATGCAAATAGCTATGAGACCTGCGGTTGACTTTTTGCATTAAGAAAGAAGCCTTGAATGCTTAAAACTTTGGCACCCCGGGGTTTTTTATATGTATATATATCATTTCTGGTATTCATTTTTGTTTGTTTTTGCTGCATTGCTTATACAAATGTCTTGCTGATTTCTAAGGAGGTAGTTTTCAGCAGCCCATTTCTATGGCTAATAACTGACAAAGCAGTCTTATCATATGCTTTTATATTACTATCTATATTTTTTAATAATATAGCAGTATCAGCACATTAAAGTAAGGCTGACATTTGTGGACTGTGGAAGAGAACATTGCTTTGTCCAATCTCTTTTCAAAGAACATTGATAAATCCTCACTTCAGTTATAAATTAGTATTCGTTTTAGTGCTACATATGGCAGTCTCTTCCAGCAGCTAGTTTTTAAAACCATCAATCTAAATAAATTAAAGGTTTTATTTTTAGGGAGGTAGCATAGTTGCAATGTTAATCAGTTTAGTAAATTAGTTGATCAGCTAGGGGGAAAGTTATTATGAAGATTTAAGAATAAGCTGCCCTGTTTTTAAGCTGTTTATGATACTTCTGGTAAGATAAATAATAAAAAAATTATAACCTTAAATAATTTCTTTTATTTGGACATCACATCCTATTAAGCATTTCATCTGCAGGATAAAAATACAATTTGAGGCTGCTGATTTGAAATGCCATGAATGGTTGACCATGATGCTGGAATTAAGAAAAAGTCATCTTGTTGGTACATTAATATAAAAAGTCCTGTTCACTAGCTAGCTCAGCTTTCTCCAAGCCGATCACTTCCAGATACATTGGGATTGCAACTGTAATTTACAACTGTAGTTGGGGAAGATGGAGCTAGCAGGGGGAAGGTATGGAAAGAAGAGAAAACAGGGCCCTGCAAAGTTTGCTGGATGGGTTTGTAGGTTCTTCAAATTGACAGATATTCAGTTGCAAGTCAATCAAGGTGAAGGGGAAAGCAGCCTGCTGCTTGTGGTTCACACCCAAATACTGATTAATCTCAGTCTGAGTGTGGATTGTGACAAAGATTCATGTGAGATTGATCCTGGCAGTTAACCTATAAGAATTATCAAGAGACGGGTTGGGGTCCTATCTGCTCCTTTCAGCATGAAGAATGAAGTCAGAGCTACTGATCCAGCCCCCCCCAAAAAAAATCAAGTTGAAAAATAATCCATGTAGACTATCATGTCAGATATTGTGTTTATCATGTCAGATGTTATATTTATGTTTGTATATACTCCGGTAATGTCCCTCGGGAATATCCACAGTTAAAAGAGTATACTGGGAAGAATGTTTGATGTGCAAAGGACCTATAGAACTTTTTTGACATTTGAACAAAAAAGATCTATGGGGAGCTGGCAAAATTCACTTCTGCTTTTAGGATTATGTGAGATTAAAAGACAAAAACATGTTGGATGAATGTCTTTTGGTTGTTCCTTTAATAGGAGAATAACTAATAGCAGAGAAAGAGGGGAAGTCCTGAATTAATGACAGATGGAAGTCTCAAAATGGTTATGTCAGTTCCCTTTCAATTCTTTGGAGCAATGTTCCTCAACCTTGGCAAATTTGAGATGGGTGGGCCCAGAATTTCCCAGCCCGGAGGCTGTATAGAGCCAGACTGTTATTAAGGCCAGCTGGAATGTTGGACGTAATGTCTGTCATGACATTAAATGCATTGCTAAGGTTACTGTCCAAATTTGTGTGCTTTTGTATGTGTCATTCTGTGTTGTTGGCTGTCGGAGAAACCAAACACTGACTTTTGCAACTTCGTTGTTTCTTAGTATGAAAAATTAATCTATCTCAGCTATTTATTTATTTTAACTTATGGTGAAATCTTATCACACTTATTCTGAAGTAAATTCCTTTTTTGTTTTGGAGCTGATTAAGTCTATATACGAAACAGCATTCAAGGAAATGTTTCCTTTCTCTCGGGATTTATTTGTTCTCAGTTATGCTGGTTGGATCCTCATCCTTCTGCCCTTGGGGGGGGGGGCTCCGTCCTTGGCCACTTTAAGACTAGTGGACTTCAACTCCCAGAATTCTTCAGCCAGCATAACAAGTCTTAAAGTGGCCAAGGACAGAGACCCCTATCCTAGGGGATTAACTCAGCCAGGGGAAAAAGTAAACGAAAGAGATTGACTATCTTTTTTTCAGGTCTTGTCCACAAGACCTAGAAGCCAGAGGGATTCCAAAATAAGAGAATAAACAATGGAATCACGCTAACCTCCTTCGCCTTCCGATCAGACCCAACAGAATATGTAATCCAGCATATGCTTTTCTATTGACTTGTGGCCGATAACAATTGGGATTATTCCCTGGTCATCCCTGGTAGGCACAGAATCCTGATTTATTGTTTCTTGATAGCATGGATATGCTATAGAATTGGATAAGTGGCAGAAACTATGGGATAGGAACTATAAATTGACCATATCGGCAGCATATAAAGAGAATCTGTACAAGATGTTTTACAGATGGCATTTAGTGCCAGCAAAATTAGCAAAAATGTTTAAAAATAAATCAATTAAATGTTGGAAATGTCATCAAATACCAGGAATATATTATCATATGTGGTGGACTTGCACAGAAGCTAAAAGGTATTGGACTAAAATACCCACATGATTGGAGAAAATGATTAAACAATACATAGATTTGAAGCCTGAAATATTTTTATTAGGAATGATACCAAAAGGCTATAGTAAAGAAAAGACCTATTGAATTATACACGTTTTAACAGCGGCTAGAATTTTATTTGCCCCAAAATGGAAGAGTTATAAGATACCAATAGAGGGAAAAATAATTGAAAAAATATTTGAATGTGCAGAAATGAATTGACACTAGAAATTAAAGAAAAAGAAGAATCTGAATATTATATAGTATGAGATTTGTTTTATCAATGGATGGAAAATAGAATAAATTAAAAGGGATTAGATGTATTCATCTAGTAATAAGAGGAATTAATTTAATAGGTATATTGGATTTCATTTGTACTATATGGGAATGTGATTATTGTTATGTTGTTAAGTTGAATAAGAAGAATATTATTAAAATTGGTTAAGTAATTTGAAATATGTACCTAGTCGATGAACGATTGAAATGGAATGAATTTTTGTGTGTGTGTGTGTGTGTGTGTGTGTGTGTGTGTGTGTGTGTATGTATGTATGTATGTATGTATGTAGTATTCAGCTTTGTTCAGGTATTTTCCCACGTCATTGTAGTTGTGCCTTTAAAGTTGTAGCAACGTTTCGGCAGAATCTCATCTGCCATCATCAGGCTTCTGTGATGGACAAACGCAATACAGAAGCCTGATGATGGCAGATGAGATTCTGCCAAAACGTTGCTACAACTTTAAAAGCACAGCTACAATGACGTGGGAAAATACCCGAACAAAGCTGAATACCATACATGTAAGTACCCGCGAAAACTTAAGAAAACATATATACATACATACATACATATACATATACATGTACATATACATATACATATATTTAAATTTTAAAAAAGAATCCTGATTTATTAAGCAGCGGGAGCATGAATTCTTTTAGGACAAGGAGTTAAGTCACCCAGTTGCTGATGTTCCGCTCCTGTCCACCTGCTAGCACCGCAAGAAGTCTAGACAAGAGCCTGGCACTACGTCAGTCCTCTGCCCTGATTCACAATTCTGCCCTACCCGGAGCTGAGTTTTCTGGCGGATCATTTGTTGACATTTCTGAAGTTAATTCTGCTATCTCTCTTCCCTTTGTGGTGGTGTTGTCCTTTTCCTAGTGCCAGGACCAAATCCATCCGCTGAGAATGACATCAGTGTCACCATGATTATGGTGGGCTGGCTGGTGGTGGCCCTGGTCTTGTTCTTGATGAGACCCATCAGCTTACGGAGATCGATGACTTCCGAAAAGCCGTCGAGCCCGCACAACGTGAGTCTGTTTCCTGAGGCATTTATTTTCTTTGGTTGGGTAATAACAGGACAAGAAGGAAATGTACCATACAAGGAAAAAGGGTACATATTCTGCTCATCCTGCATTAAGTCATGCCACACTGGTTCAATACAGGTAGTCTTCTACTCACAACAGTTCGTTTAGTGACCATTCAGAGTTACAATGGCACTGAGAAAAGGGACTTACGACCGTTGTTCACACTTAACAACCTTAACAGCATCCCCATGAATATGTGATCAAAATTCAGAGGCTCGGCAACGGGTTCATACTTATCAACTGCAGTGATTCACTTAGGAACAATGGCAAATGGGGCAAAACTCACTTGAACAAATGTCTCACAACGGAAAATTTTGGGCTGCATTGTGGATATAAGTTGAGGACTACCTGTAAGACTTCTTTTCAGGGATGTCGTAATATTGCATTGCTGTTTAGCAGAATCATTCAAGTTAAAATCCTATCTGTCTTAGAGAATTTTGTCCCCAGGGCTTGTGAAGAACCCACCCAGGATTTTTAAGAAAGGGGTGTGAATAATCCTTTCAGCCTATTGGTGATAACCTAGTGAAGGTAACTGGATTAGGCTAGGATTCTAAATAGCATTCCATTCATTCTCTTGAAAGCTCCTTGTTAGCTACTTTGATTTCCCATGATTTCCCCCCCCCCCCAATCTAAATAGCTCTTCATTTCCTCTTCCTCGTTTACCTTTTAATGCTTCCCTTGTTCCCTTGGACTGTCTTCTTTGCTGCTTTTTTCTCTGTCTGTGCACACCACACAATCTGTCTCCTCTCCTTTTGGCAGCAATCATTCCACACACATTGCACAATCGCCCTTGCTTCATCATTTTAGCAAGCACTTTCTTTCATACATCTCCCATTAGTGTAAGTCCACATACTTCTTTGGCATGAATAAGAGTCTTTTCCTTTTGTTCCCGTTAGCCTCCATATCCTGTTCTGTTTTGTTGCCTTTCTAGTCCAGAGATATCCAATTTTGACAAATGTTAAGACTTGTGGACTTCAACTCCCAGAATTCCCCAGGTAGAATGGTTGGCTGGGGAATTCTGTGGGTTGATGTTCACAGATCTTAAAAGTTGCCAAGGTTGGACACCCCTGTTCTAGTCACTCACTGGGAGATAATTTTATCTATTTTTTTCATAGAGTAATTTTTTTCCTTTTCTCTATTTTCATTTGTTTCTTCTAGCCTGCTCTTTCTGGTGCATTTATTCCAAAGATTGTCAATTGCTTGTTTTACGTTCACAATTTCTCACCATCACCTATTCTGGCCCCTGCTTCTGATTGCTAGCGGGGCTGGCAGTTAAACACTACAAAAGGCTTCCGTGCAAATTAGTTTATTGTTCATTAGGGATCCTCTTATCATAGCTCACAGTTAATGCAGAGATTCTTCCAACATTCAGTTTGTGCCTCTTAATAGTGTGAAAGAAGGTGGTCTTTAGCCCATCATGCAAGAGCAAAAGAAATCTCCTGCCCCATGCAGGCCTGCATAAACTTCCCCAGCCCAACGGGAGATTAACCCAGTGGCCAATCAGGAGTACAGATATGACCGTGACATAAACTACATTTCCCATGAAGCATTCCCTTAAGGGGGCAGCTCTCATTTCTAAACTAAATATCCACTCCAGCCAGCACATCATCTATCACCTTGTCTTTCAGTAGTTCTCTACTTTTAGATTTATATTCCTCCCTTTGCCACCCAAATGTATGAATAGACCTATTCTTAAACCATGCATTCGAGACCCTGAGTTCTAATCCTGCCTTAGCCATGAAAGCCTGCTGGGTGACTCACTTGTAGTTGTAAGTTGAAGACTACCTGTAATTTTCTTTTATTCCATGAAATACAAATGTATAAAAGGTATGAGGATTTTTTTTAAGTGGACAACCCCTTTTGCAACATTCGGAAACTTCTAATTCAATATATTCTCAACACACAGGGACAAGAACCACCAGCTCCAGCTGTGGACTGAAGTTTCCTGGACAAATTCATCAAGTGTAATCGTCAGTGACCAAAAGAAAGACCACAGCATTCCTTATCATTGTACAGTAGGGTCCTGTCCTGTACATAGAATATCCGTTTCCTTTTTCTATTTCTTAAACAACAATTAATTGGATTAACTTAACGTGGTGGGAAGTAACAGCATTTCATTGATGGGTGTTGAACTTATGCCCACTACATTATTTACATACATATTTAAAGAAAAAAAGTTAAATCTCTCTATTGATAATCAGTTGATCTTGTTCAGACTAGTGGGTTTTCTCTTCCTATCTGCTTAGAGATTAAAAACTACAGTAAATTCCTCTGTGATCTTCGTACACCCATTTTGGGGGGGGGGAAATCTGCAAAAGTTTCCAGTGGGTCCTTTTTCAAAAAGTTCATATACCACAGCCTTCTCCAATTAGTGCCTTTTGCATATGCTGAATATTATGTCATATTCGTAGCTGACAGTCAACAATCTAGATGAATTCAGATTAAGAAAGCTGATTAAACTAATTATAGTTTTATCAATGAAACAGTTTATTTAGGGGGAGGGAGGAGAGAGTAAGAAGGAAGGAAGGAAGATAAGTTAATGAATAAAGCCTGAATAATTAAAGTTTACATTGAAAACTAGTCCCACAATGATTTTCCTGCAGACTTGAGTTTGTGATTTCTATTTAGAACAAACCTCAAGTCAAAAGAAAGAACCGCAGCAGAATGCCTGGCCTCCTTCACTACAATTGTTTAAAAGCTTCTGCAGTCAAAAGTAACTTCTAGATTGCATTGGATTAACACATTTTACACGTTATTCAAATGCTGATGAAACACTGATACAACCAAACCCTTTGTAGCATGAGGCCACAGCACCGAATTTGTCAAAACTGCAAATTTTGAGCGGTCTTCCTGAGAAGCAAAATTGGCATATTAAGCTTCTATGAAGCTCAACCTGTTGATGTTATTATCCCTTTCCTAAAAATGATCAAAACCAGAGAAGTCCAACCTTGGCAACTTTAAAACTCGTAAACTTCAACTATCAGAAATCTGGGAGTTGAATAAGTCTACAGGTAGTTGAAGTCCACAGAGATAACTTCATGCTTTCTAGTTGTAAAAAGACAATCCACTCTTGCAGCATGGTAAATTATGGAGTTAAAAAGCTAGTGCTTAAGACCTTAAGACCAATTTTTAAAATCAAACATTGAATTATTCCATTCCAGGAAAGTTCACTTGAAATTAAATTAACAACATTCCTGGAATACGTGCGTAGCAGGTAGAATTTGCTGTCCAAGTTACTTTTGAACCTCCTCTAAAATCCAATCCTTACTGGATTTGAAGGATGGAAAATGTATTTCAACCAACCTTGTAACTAAATCTAATTCATTAATCTGCTATATATTTGTACGAAGATTGAGGACAATTTCTCAGTTTTTACACATCTCAACAAGTTTGGCAACAGATATCCATCCATTGATAACTGGATTTGGTCCATTTATTTCAAAGAAGGAACCTACCTTTCATATTAATACCAACGTGGAAACAACTTAGTGTATCTGTCCCAACATTTATTCATCAAATGCTGTTTTTAAGATTTCAGAGATCCATTCTTTTGCCATGGAATAACATTAAAGAATTCTGGGAATTGTTTTAAGGATTATAGCACTGTGTTTGGGCATTTCATGATTCCGCATAAAATAGCGTTCGAGAACCTTTCTATATTTCTTTTTTTTTTTTTTAATGGTCTCTTTGTTACTTTTCAGGCAAGTTTGTTCATCTTTACCAACCTTGTGAAATGCACCTTTCTAAGGTTGGCAGACCAGCTCTAAAAATGTGGAGCAGTTATCAGTCTTGGGGCTGAATGGCAATGATTTAGTTTTTATTTCGTTCTCAAGAATAATTTGTAGGACTATTGATGTAAACATTTGGACAGAGAAAACTGAAGAAGCAAAATGTGAATTAATGTACAGCTTGTTCATTAGCAACTATAGGCCAGTTTGATGCCCCCACCCGTCTCCTCCTAAAGCTGGGAGAAATTGAAACAAAGCTCTCGGTGGGAAACCAGTGCCATTTTATGAAATCAGACCATGAAACAGAACCACAAAATAATCTGCTTTGCGTTAAAAAGGTTTATTGTATGACAGGCTAAATCTATAGCTCGAACATTGGATTATTGACATCTTTTATTTTTCCTACTTTAAATGAACAAGCTAGACATAATGTGGAAGATTATGATGACTTGTTTTCAGGACTTTGAAAAGCTGGTTTATGGGATGATGGTAGGATTAGCAGAATTTAGAAACCATTCTTGCCAGCAAGCTCTTCAAGAGGAGGGGAAAAAAGGCGGAGGGATTTTAATTGTGAAAATATCGTGCTCAAAAGGTTTGGAGATTCTTTTTCTGACATTGCAGCTTTTATATAACCCCAGCCTCTGACACCAATTAAAGTTTTTTTTAAAAAAAAAAACCCTGGGAGATCTTAAACATAGTTTTTCTACTTGGTGAATTTCTACAGCATTTAATGTTTAAAGTTTAGGTGTCAGAATCGCTATTTCGCATTCACATATAAACTGCAACAGCTCTTTCTGCCTTAGTTTAGAATCATTCTCCTAGGCAAAAAGATTGATAATACTGTGATGAATTTTAGTGGTTTAAATGGTCTGAATTATGCCAAACACAAAGATCTGTGCCATGTTGTAATCCTTTACTACAAGATTTGCTGTGAAATAAAGGGCTTGTTCTATGCACTTTTTAAAAAAAATATCTCGACAAATAGAACCACTAATAAAACTTTTCAAAATCTGGATTTTGCATTTCTCAAGACGTTTTGCTTTGCTTTGGTGTGGGGAAGGGGTCGACAACCTTAAACACTCAAAAGAGTCTTTTGGACCAGTTTCCCACAGAAATCACCAGGCGCCACAAAGGTCCTAATCAGAAGCCCCCATTCCCCCCCCCCCCCAGTTCAATTCTGGGACTGACCAGAAATCCGATTCCCCCACGGGGGGGGGGGGGGACCTTTTCCTTGGGCAGCGTCCTTTTTCCTCTACCTGTCCTAACCGAAAGCCCTATCTATTGTGGAGCCGACAGGATAACCTGCCCCTTGCCATAGAGTCTCCTCCTGGCGTGCCGTGCTTCCCCCCCCCCCCCAAACCGGAAGCTCCTCTCAAAATTGTGGCACCGACGCAATAGGGAGCTGCACCAGAGGGATGAAATAGCCACATGTGGCTCCAGAGCCGTAGGTTTCCAACTCCTGGTATGTGGGAAGACTGGTCTCCTTTGCTAACGCTTTACTCCAAAGTAACGTGCTATCTTGACATGTGGCCTTTCCTGAGCCCCTTTTTGGTTTTTACAGTGATTTCAACATTTATCTGTTTTTAAATTGAATGTCAGCAGTTGCATAGGTACATTGTGTTCAGTGGATGTACATACGAGACTGCATTTTAAATCATTATGTTTCCCTCTTATTCTGAAATTCTAATTAAAAGTGTCCTGCACCTTCCTACAGGGAGAAATGTCATTTACATATCGTTGAACTGTCCCAGATTATTGGCATCCTTCAGTCTTAAGAGACTGTGGTATCATGCTCTGAAAAGAGGTCCTAAAACAGCATCTAGTGTGGCTAAAAGGGCCAATTTGAGACGGGCAATCCCTTCCACACTGAGGACAGATGCAGTCTGTCTCCTGTCCAGCCTCTGGATTTTGCTGGTGCTGGGACTGCCTCTTGGCCTCAGCCTGCCAAACGAGTATCTCTTCTTCGAATTGAAGGCCATGCTGCATCTTTAGCCTCCAGACTGATCAGAGGTCAAGGTTTCCCAGCTGTTGATGTCCATTCCCAAGGCCTTTAGGTCCTTCTTGCAGATATCCTTATATTGCAGCTGTGGTCTCCTTCTAGGGTACTTCCCCTGCACTAATTCTCCATCTAGGACAGTGGTGGCTAACCTTTTTAGGCTCCTGTGCCAAAATTGCACACGCATTAGCATGCATGTGCAGTCATGTGCCAGCACCCAGAATGCAATGTGTGGGCTCCCCGCTCCCCCTGCGCATGCACATGCAATTATCACCCCCTTACCTGCATTGTGCCTCACACCTGATTTTTCGGCTGGTTTGAGACCTTTTTTGGCCTCCCAGAGGCTTGGAAAAAGCCTCTGCAAGGCTTTTCAGACCGAATAATATGCCCGTTTCATCACTTCTGATATTACAGGAAGTGACGAAACAGGCCTATTCATCCTGAAAAGCCTTGCAGAGGCTTTTTCCAAGCCTCTGGGAGGCCAAAAAAGGCCTCAAACTACGGTAGCAGAAAAATCAGCTGTGAGGCGCGCATATGCACAGTGAGGTAAGTTTGCCTGCGGCTCGCATGATGGCACAAATGGCTCTACGTGCCATAGGTTCGCCATCACGGATCTAGGAGGTCTTTCGGAATCCGACCATCAGCCATCCTCACGACAGGCCCAAGCCAGCATAGACGTCGCTGTTTCAATAGTATATACATGGTAGAAATTCTAGCATGTTCCAAGACTGCGCTATTTGGAACTTTGTCATGCCAGGAGATACAAGAGTGTGCTCAAGACACAGGCTCTATAGACCTGAAACTTTGCATATTGCATCAGCTTCTTATTAAGCCATACTCTCTTTGCAAGTCTGGAAAATTTCTCCTACAGGAAGAAATGTCATTTATATACCGTTGAACTGTCTCAGAAGTACATGGATAAACTGAAGGAGCGCCTCTTCGTACAAAGGTATCCAATATGAGCAATTTCAAAACTTGTGAACGTCAACTCCCAGAATTTCCCAGACAGCCATGAGTCTTTCTCCTAAAGAACTCCCAACTGAACATTCTGCAAAAGCGTTTTTCATACAGTAGTGAATAACAATACTAAATAAATAAAACAGTTCCTCTATTGCCAATCTGTGATATGGATTTTTGCACTGCGCAGGACAAACTACATCATAACCCTGTGACTTGGAGATTTTGTATCTTGATACCATATCGTTCCCATCTTGCTTTGTAACTACTACATGGCTGGGTTTCAGATAGTTTTAATATCCGGCTCTTGAAAATTGCATTCGGTTCTTGCTCACGGAGCCCATTAATTAATTGGGATCGATGATTCTTTATTCATTTTATTTACATGAAACGTACACGCTGCTCCTCTCACCCATCGGGTAACTTAACCCCAGATTCCTCTAGAAAAATCTAGTAAAATGGCATCATCTTGATAAGTTTAAATGGCCAAGATTTTCCTTTCCCAATACCCAACCCAAACGTAAAACTTTCTTCCACAAACTTTTGCTCCCAGTTAAAACCAGCACAACTGAATTGTCAGAAAGGAGTATTAGGGCGTTCTACAATTTTCTGACTTCCAAGGCTAGTCTTCATCAGAAAGAGCTTACAATGTTGGGGGGCCACATATTTCCTTTAAAATTAGCTACTGGTTTTACGATTTCTAAATATCTAATCGGCAAACTAACTTGCTGGGCTGCAACACGTTAATTGTCAAATCTCAAGCAGCAGCATTTGTAGCCTGCTTTTTTTTATAGCTTAGGTGACTGAAAGTCTGGAAGATTGTGGCTTCTTTAGGAAAACTCACTCTTTTATATATAAAAGCGAAATACCCCTCACACATCATCACAAAATCTCCAGAACTGTAAAGCCTACAATCTTGAAATTGGGCAGTATGTTCCCCTTGGCTTCTAGGTGCTCACTAAGAAAGGATTTTTTGAAATAACCATCAGAGCATTAGTATTTCCTATATAATTATTATTATTAACACGCTCTGGTGCTAAGGAGTTCTACTCCCCCTCCCCACCTAGAAAGAAATCATCTCCAAATGCAAAACACAAGCAGAGGAGTTTCAGTTTCAGTTTTACTTGCATAGCACCAAGCAGCTTTAGGACAGAACAGTTGAGCTAAGCCACACCCAGGCTCCTTGCTGTCTCCTTGCTCACACAGCAAATACTGCTTCAGTTTCCAAACAGCCCTCAACTCTCTCAAACACTGACAGGACGCTAGCCAGATGAATACCAATGGATGCTGGTAGGCAGAGGCAGATTTTTTCCCCCTTATTTTCCTCTCCAAAAACTAAGCCCGACCCATTTTGTAGCAAAACACGAAAAGCCCCAAAGGTCACATTTCAAAGTCCTATTTCCTTCCCTGCACGCCATTTATATACTTCCTATATCATTCATGTCATGCCATTAATGTAATTTCCTTGCCAGCTTCTACATGCTTGAAAGGTTTGCGGGAAGACAACCTTTGCAGTGCCTTTGAATTAGCCAGGGTTTATCGAATGATCTCAGTTTACACCCCTTGCTTGCTTGGCTCTGGAGAGGAAGGTAGCCAGCAGCCCCCTTCAGCTGTTTAAGCCTTGGACAGAGAAGCCCCTTTCCTTTGCAACAAGTCTGCCTAAAATGAAATTTCCTCTCCATGCAAACTTATGGATCTCAGGTGGAGGAAGGGCAGCTGCTCCAGGGAGAATCCAGGCCTTGGGAAAGGGTCGTTAAATGGGGCAGTGGAAGCCTAGCCTGTCCTTGGGGTCCTCTGGAACAGCGGTCGCCAACTGGTGGGCCGCGGCCCACTGGTGGGCCCTGAGAAAATTTTGGTGGGCCGCAGAGAAATGTCACCCCCAGTGCACCCCCCAAAGCAATTAATCTAGGCTGAGCAGAAACACAAGGCTGTGCTGCCCACATGGCCCATGGGAACCTTACCCGGAAAACTTGCCTGCTAAATTGCTGTTTTTCTTTTTCCCGACCATCATCTGTTCTGCTGTGCCGGGAGATTTAGATTAGCTAGAAAGCAGGAAATGGTTGCATTTCTTGCTTTCTAGCTAGTCTTTAGATCTTAAGATTTAGAGCTTAAACGCAGAGCCGAGCCTTCCTTAGGACTGAAGGTTCTATTATTCAGTGCAGACTCAGGGCAAGCAAATTTTATGTGACAGACTCAGGTAGGCAATGGCAGATAGATAGATCACTGAATGATTCTGTGAGCAACTCAATCTGCCTACCTGCTTTTGGGTAAAAGTTGCTCTTTTTTAAATAAAAAATAATCATGTATGTAAATGAACCATTTACATACATGGTGTGAGTTAATTTTGTGAGTTTCTTGCTAGCAAATTTTATGAGTTTGCTTGCAAGCAAATTTTATGTGACAGACTGAGCTAGCTGATGGCAGATAGATAGATAGATCTTTGAATGAATCTGTGATTCTGTGAGCAACTCAATCTGCCTGCATGCTTTGCCTGATTTTGGGTAAAGGTTGCTCTTTTTTTATAAAAAAATTCAATATTTATATAAATATTTATAATATTTACATACAAGCCATGCTCAGCCAGTCACATGACCACCAAGCCACACCCACAAATTAGGCCATGCCCACAGAACCGGTTAGAGGTCCCTGGGATTTAAAATTATGAGTTTGGTGATCCCTGAGGTCCAAAAGGTTGGGAACCCCTGCTC